CGGTATCAGACCGAAATCCAGAAGCGTACTAACATTCCTCAAGGCTTTGCCTGACATCGGACTATAATCCAGAAACATACAAATACAGACACATGCAAGAATCACGAAGACATCAAGCATACAAACATTCCTCGGGCATCGCCCGACATCAGACCGAAATCCATAAAGCATATAAACATTCATCGGGCACCTCCCGACATCATATCGAAATCCAAAAAACATATAATCATACATACAGGCCGACATTGGTGCCTTCGACCCGTTCCTATAGGAGGAAACTCACCTCGCAAAGCTGAATGTAGAATCTCACGGTAAGGAATCTCTAACGGCTTCTCCGACGACTCCCCGAGCTATTATTACCACGATAACACTTAGTCAAAAACTAATAATCCTTCTTAGGGTAAAATGACCATTTTACCCTGATCTAATTTGACCCATCCCATGGGGACGATTTTGGGATGCCCTAATAGGGCATTCTGGAAGCTTCCTCATGATTAGGAAACTGGATAGCTATCTGAATTTGAAATATTTTTATTATACGTTCAAATTCCGGTTTCCAGGGTTTTCGAAGTAGTTATAAATATGAACCTATACCTAAGCATTTTCAGCCACTTGTGTATCCAAGAGAATAGCCAAAAATCTACCTCTCCCTCCTCTCTCCTCAATAGTCTTCTGGTTCCAGGGTTTGTATATAAACCATTTGAGGCATCATAATTTTGGTGCTAGGCTTTCCAAGATCAACTACAAGGTATTGAAGAGAATTGTTTACTTCGACATTTCGAAGGTATGTAACCCTAACTTGGTATTTTCATTACATTAGGCTTCTTGTAGGTTTTGATGTTCATTGTATGTTACCTTCAAAGTGTTATGACATAGATCCTTATAGGTTGCATGTGCCCTTAAATGTTAAGTGATTTTTTCCGCATGTACATGTATTTTATAACCTATAAAACCCACCAGTTACTACCAATTGATTATTTATTACAGTAATTTTGATTATTAATAAATATCAGCACTTGTATTTAATTGGAAAAACATTATTTTATGAAAATAATTTTTACCAATATATTGAGAATTATTGTTTTTAGGAAATAATAATAAAAGAGAACAAAAACTAGCTTAATATCATATAGTATGATTATTAATGTTGTGTACAATTTTGTCATCACTTAGAGTAACCAATTGGTTACAACTCAACTAGCTAGTTATGTGATATGTATTAAATATTCCACGTCTCGTGTTTTTGACCATTATGGCCGAAAATTGAGGAGCATGGGCAAGGATTACCTTTGTGTTGTTTATTACATCTCTCATACATGTAAGAAAAGCCTTACCACTTTTGCTTTTTGGTCTTGGTTTATGGTTACATGTTTTGGTACTTAAAGAAGGCTTAACTAGTGAACGAGTTTAAATTTTTAGACACTCTTTCCTCCCTCATTTGGCCTACCAAATCCAAGAGCTAGATGCTCCATTCTCATCTTCTTCTTTCTTCCATTTGGTGCTAGAAATGAAGGCTCTAAAGTTGCTTCTCTGTAAACACTTATTTGGTATAAGTCTTAAAACTTAAGAACAACTTTATATAAGTGTATACTAGCATATTTTGGTGGTTTAATCTTGCATGATGAATATATTATAAAGAACTTCTCTTTTGGAGTTTCATGCATATTTCATCAACTTCTAATCTCTCATGTAACATTCTGTTTAAATTAATTAAAATAAATAATAAACCTGGAGCACCAAGATGTAAATTTATAATTTATATTATTTTATAATGGCCCTAAAACCAATAATATTTAGCGGATAGTTGGTTTCGAGGAGCCAAATGATATATTTTAGACTTTCGGGGGTCAAAGTGTAATTTCAGGATGTACTTTGTAAAGATTTTTAGAAGTTAGGGTGTGTTTGGTAAGTATTGGATGTGATTTGAAAGAGATTTCAGAAGGCATGGGGCTAAATCGTAAATTTTGGGTTTGAATTGAGAAGATTGTGAAGGGGATGGACCAGAATTGCCAAATCCGTTAATAGTTTGAATGGAGTCACAAGACTTAAACTCGTGCCTTCCATTCCCGGTGGCCACTGTTTCATTGAGCAACCCTAACCCTAATCTTTCTTTAGTCGCTACCATAAGAAGCTATTCCAGCCGCCGCCGCCAGTGTCGAGTCCGACCGCCACCTTTCTCTGTCTGCAATATCGCCGTTGATCGCCGCTGCAATAACCCCGACCGTCGAAGGCGCCATGGGCAACAAAATATATGCGAGGACGGTGGGGCACGTTGCGTTTGTCGCCAGTGGGTCGCGAGATATCAAGAAACGACCGGTAAGCCACCTGCCACCTTTCCCTCTCATCTCCTTCGCTTTCCCCGGTGAGACGACGTTGTGCACGTCGATTGCTGTCGTTGGCAGCCCTAGGGTTGTCGTTTTGCTCATTTCAGCGTCCTCAACCACCTAGTCGGTGGTTGGGAGCTGTGGTCTTGCATCATGAACAGATGGGGTTCGGTGATCGATTTTTTGGCCGGAAAGTAACCACCACCACCGTGAGGTGGTGGCTGCCATTTCTTTTGTCGTCACCAGCTACCGTGGGAGGGTGGCTGTGTGCGTGATTGGGTGTGTGTGAGCCTAATTCATGAGTTTAATGTTGTATGGACATTCTTGGATAGGAAAAAACGAAGAGAACTCGTCACCGCCACCTGCTGCCGCCGTTCCGCCACCTGCTGTCGTTGTTCCAGGTGGCTGTGGACTTTCGGGTGCGTTTGGATTGATGTTTGGAGTGCTTTTGGTGTTGTGTTGGCCCAAGAACATGACTACCACCACCGTGAACCACCGCCAACCACCACTGCCCGGGGTGGTAGTGTGTGGTACTCGACTAGATTAGACTTTAATTAATGTAAAAATTGAACTATTAGATTAATTGGTTTTTGATTTGGTTGGAAACCTTAATTAGGGTTTAGAAAACCCTAATTTTGGGAGTATGTATTTTGGATTTGTCGGGACCCGCGTAGGACCATTGGTTTGGAAATTTAAACTATGCCCGACTAAGTTGGTCTAGTGGAGTAATGGAATTAATGGATTAAGTCCTTAACGGATTAAGTCTTAATGGGTTAAGTAGGAACACTTAACCCTAATCGTCATTTTATGTGAAAAACCCTAATTGGGTTTTGGGTTCTTATTGGGCTATTTATTGGACTAAGCTGATGTGGGCCTTTGTGGGCCAGTTGGGAACATATTTATGGATTAAGGAAATTATTGGGCTTTAGGATAAGACCCATTATAGAGGCTTGGGCCCAATTTGGAAAATTAGGCCATAAGTGGGCCATAATTGGGCCTTGAGGATTATTAGCTATTGGACCATCAGAATGCCAATTGTTTGGACTAGAATAATTGGTTGGGCCTCAAAATAAGTCCATGTAGAGGTTTGGGCCCAATTTGGAAAATTGGGCCATAAGTGGGCCTTGGTTGATTATTGGGCTTTTGGGCCTTCAGAGTGTGAGTTTAGGCCTTGGTTTTGAACCAAGCTAGGTTAGGGGTAAAATGGTCCATTTACCCCAAGTGTAGATTTATGGTTATGCATTGGAACCCAATTATTAATTGGGTGTCATTTTGATGTTGACAATTCGAGAATCTGTCAACCAGCAATGAGAGTTTTGTCCGCAGGACTTCAGCAGTGCCAGGTGAGTCTCCTCACCATACTAATGGGTCTAACGCACCAAGGCCGACCCATTCAGTTAGTTGTAGTGTTTATTGTAGATTAACTACTGATATATCTGGTATGCATGTATATGTGGTATGCTAGTGATTATGTGGTATGCTATTGATTATGTGGTATGCTAGCTGTCTTTGTGATACTTGCATGGAAGACCATTGGGGAGCCCATGGCACCGGATGTAAGACCATGTGGAGAGCCTATGACTTTCCTATTAAAGACCATGGGGTGGGGGGGGGGGGGGGAGCCCATGACACTCGGATGTAAGACCATGTGGAGAGCCCATGGCTTTCCTATTAAAGACCATGGGAGAGCCCATGACACTTAGGTGTAAGACCATGTGGGGAGCCCATGACATCCTGGAGTAAGACCCTGGGGGAGCCCACGACATCCGTATATGTTTATATGCATGGCTATGTGATTGATATGGATATGTGATTGATATGGTTTATGTAGTTGTTATAACTGATATGAATTATCTGGTTATGTGGTTTGTGTGGGGTATGCTCTGGGGAACTCACTAAGCTTTGTGCTTACGGTTTACAGTTTTGGTTTCAGGTATCATTGATTTAGAAAAGAAGGGCTCAGATTGATCGCAGTGCACACACCTATGATTTCCGCAATGAATGATTTTGGGATGAACTCTGATAAATGTTTTACTTAACGATGATTTGAAATGTTTGAATAAATGATATCAATGTTTTAGCTATATTAAAAATGAAATTTTTAACCTTGATTTTTGGGTGGTTACATCTCATGAGAATCAAAGTCTTTAAAGGTTGTAACACTTAACTTTCTATAATTGTTTTAATTTTTCTAATCTTGCAAAATGATTTTTGGTAAGTTAAAATGGTTTTAGTTTATTCAAAGAAAAATATTTCCATTGTTAATTATGTCAAATTTTGTCTCTAACATTAGAGTATTTTTGAATTGAATAAAAACCCTGACACTTTAGTGGTGTTTTCATCTATCGGCATTTTTTTATATTTGACTTGAGTTTCTCGCTTAAGATTTTTATTTTTTTATTTTACATTATTGTTTTTTCTATGTGTTTATATATTTGATCGTTGTTCCAGAAGGACAGAAAAAAAAACATCCAATATAAAAATGGTTTTCAAAATTAGATGAGTAAATTTGTCGGAGTTTAGCCTAAAATTGTTACCAACCCATTTAAAAACTCATTTGCCAAATTTTACATGGGAATCCTGTGAAATTGAAAACATCTTTTGTTTAGACTTTGAAGGAAAAGGACATTAAAAAAAAAAAAAAAAAAAAAAAAAAGCCCAAATATCACATTGTGAGGTCTACTTTTTAGTAGGAGAGAGAAGAAGGAGTGCGTGCACCCTTTCGTGATTTGTTGCGTGGCCTTTCACCAAAGCTTCCCTTCTTCATCACCCCCTCCTCAAACCCTTGTCACAGGGAGGTCTACCATTCCTTTGTTTCTTTTTCTTTTTCCTTTTTCCCAATTATATTTTTCTAATATTTCATCGGTCTCTCTCTCTTATACGTACGTACGTTGATATGTCGAAGAAAACTCATTCGATTAATCTTTGTGATTGATTTTACACTCGGCTCTTTCGCCAGAATTTCGCAACCAGGAGTCGTAATCGGGAGACACAAACTTTACATGATTTGACTCAGTTCGTGTGCTTTTCGTTACCCGGTTAGTCTATGAAATTTCTGAAGATTGTTACTCTTCCAATAAATTATAATTTCCTCGCTCTATTTGAAATTGTTTTTGTTCGTGGGGTTTGTTTAATTTTAAAATTCAGATCTGTGGCTATCATGTGTTTCTGTTGGGAAAATCGGTCGGTTTCCATATAAGCTCCGAGGAACCTAATCTAATCTCTCAAGAATCTTGCTTTTTGTATAATTCCTTCAGTTGCGTTTAATGTGAGATTCCCTTGTTTGATGATTCGAACAGATTTCCAATCTCTCTTTTTCAATTTATTCGCTTTTTGTTCTCTTACTTGTAACCTAATCGTCGATGTGAATTCTTAGCAAACTATAATCGGCAGGTGTGTTGCGATTTAGTTCCATTTCTTCTAAAGAGGTTCTTTATCATTCTCCATAGTTTAAAATCGAGACGACTCATCTAGCTTAAGGGCTAACACGAGCTTGTTGGCTGATCCAAAATTCTTTTTTGGATCTCATCTTAGAAAGAGTAATAGGAGTACTAACATCCTGTACATGAGCTCAACTCATAACTTTACTCCTTTTTTCATGTTCATTTGTTACCTTGCTAGTGTTTTAGGTGTTCATAATGTTCCCCACATGTTACACAACTTCCAGCCCCAACATTCTTCCTTCCTTTCATGAATATTATAACAATTTCCATCTTGAAATATATCTCGATAATTGCAACTTTCTCCTTTTAAGTGATCTGTAAGATACATGTTTCCATCTTGGTATATTCAATCATAATTGTGGCTTCCCCTTTTGTGGCAAACTTTCAATGCAAGTTACCTAGTGCCCCCCAATGTTATCATACCAAAGCTTTTGCAGTGTTGATTTAATATCTATATATTATGTTAAATCAACCATTTTTTTTTTTTCAGGATAAGATATGGAGGGAGGAGGGCGTGGTGGGAGTAGTGTGGACATGTTCTTACGCAACTATAAGCTTGGGAAAACACTTGGTATTGGTTCATTTGGGAAGGTGAAAATTGCAGAACATACATTAACAGGACACAAAGTTGCTATAAAGATCCTCAATCGTCGCAAGATCAAAAACATGGAAATGGAAGAAAAAGGTACAAACTTTATAACTTACAACAATAATAACAATGCTCATAAACAAATAGTTACTCATTTCATATATTTGCAGTTAGAAGAGAGATTAAGATATTAAGATTGTTCATGCATCCACATATCATCCGTCTCTATGAGGTTGTAGAAACACCATCAGACATTTATGTTGTTATGGAGTATGTGAAATCCGGTGAGCTTTTCGATTACATTGTGGAAAAGGGAAGATTGCATGAAGATGAAGCTCGCAATTTCTTTCAGCAGGTGAAAATACTTAAATATAAATATTGTTTCATCAGGAATGTATTTGGTTAAACTAAACTTATTACTTATATGTCAATGTCTTGACTCTTGAGGCAGATAATATCTGGTGTGGAGTATTGCCACCGTAATATGGTGGTCCACAGAGATCTTAAACCTGAAAATCTGCTATTGGATGCCAAAATGCAATGTGAAAATTGCAGATTTTGGTTTGAGTAATATCATGCGTGATGGTCATTTCCTCAAAACAAGTTGTGGAAGTCCAAATTATGCAGCCCCTGAGGTATTAAATATAAGTTTCACATAAGTCAGACTAATAATTTCAGCATCAGAAGAATTAACATTTTTTTTTTAAAAAATAGGTTATATCTGGGAAACTATATGCTGGGCCCGAGGTAGATGTATGGAGCTGTGGTGTTATCCTGTATGCACTTCTTTGTGGGACCCTTCCTTTTGACGATGAAAACATTCCTAACCTTTTCAAGAAAATTAAGGTCTGCCAGTTTAATATTTGATAAATTCCCATTTATACCCTTCTCATGTTGATTTGTTGTTTAAGGGTGGAATATATACCCTTCCGAGTCATTTGTCACCCGGTGCTAGAGATTTGATTCCAAGGTTGCTTGTGGTTGACCCAATGAAGCGTATGACTATTCCTGAAATCCGTGCACACCCGTGGTTCCAAGCTCATCTCCCTCGCTACTTAGCCGTCCCTCCACCCGATTCCATGCAGCAAGCAAAAAAGGTACATTTCCAAATATACCCTTTACTGATAATGATAATCACTAGCAATTCCAATTTTCTAATATACCCTTTTTTTTGTTGGTGCAGACTGATGAAGATATTCTTAATGAGGTGATTAAGATGGGGTTTGACAGGGATGGGCTTATCGAGTCACTTCGCAACCGAGTGCAAAATGAGGTAATAACTTTTATTATTATAATTTTCTTAGGTGAAAAATGTTTGTAAAAATTTGAATATTTTACATACAGGGTACTGTGGCGTATTACTTGCTACTGGACAATAGGTTTCGTAACTCAAACAGTTATCTTGGAGCGGAGTTTCAAAAACCTGTTGAGGGGTACAGAGGTGTGAATTCAAACGAAGCTTCTGTATCAGTTTTATCACCACGTTCAACTGGATACATGGATTATCAAGGAACAAATATGAGAAACCAAGTTGAAAGGAAATGGGCTCTTGGGCTTCAGGTTATTTTTCTCATTTTCCTTGTATTGTATGAATAAAGTATTTTAATTTTTTTTTTCTTTGTATTAATGGGGTCCGTTTTGACAGTCTCGAGCGCATCCTCGTGAGATAATGCAAGAAGTATTAAAAGCTTTGCAAGAACTGAATGTTAACTGGAAGAAAATAGGACACTACAACATGAAGTGCAGATGGGATCCTGCCACTAGCCATGGACACAACACCAACACCATGCAATTGCAAAGTAGTCGTTACTTTGGAGATGAGTCAACCATAGTAGATGCTGCTGCTGACACTGCTTCCTCAACCTCTCCAAATGTTGTCAAGTTTGAAGTCCAGGTAAACATGATTTTGTTAACTATTTCACTTATATAAAACCATCAATAGCTTGCTACACTAATTTCTGTATTGAATATTTATTGATCATGTTAAAAAAATGTGTTTTGTTACAGCTTTATAAAACTCGTGAGGAAAAGTATTTGCTTGATCTACAGAGGGTAAATGGACCTCAGTTTCTGTTTTTGGAACTTTGTGCTGCGTTTCTTGCTCAGCTTCGTGTTCTCTAGAACAAGACATAGCCTGAAAAAAAAAATATATATATATTTATATATTTATATGTATGAAGAATGGCTTTCTCCGGGATATCATCTTTTGTGAAGAAAAGCTAGGCTGTATTGTATATAAAAGTCTCTAGGCTTCTATTTATAGGCGAATTTTGTGAGCCCGTATTTATCTTTTGTTAACTTGTTTACTTATATAAAACCATCAATAGCTTGTTTTGGTTTATTATAATAAGAGTAATGTGTAACCTTAGTATCGAATCTATTAAGTACAACTTCATTGCTTGTATTTGTTAAAAAAAAAAGAATTGGGAATTAGGACAATGTACTTTTTTTCGTTTCTTTTCAAAAAAGTAAAAGACATTGAGTGAGTTTGATGAACTAGACAAAACTAAAACTATATAAAAGGTTTGAGCTAATTAACATAACATATGGTTGGGAGATCAAGAGAGCTCCATAGTGACAACTCTCCATCGATAGTGTTTGTTGCAGAAGAAACTGTTGTTGAGTTTTCTGCAACATCTTTCTTTGATTCTTCTTCTTCTGCTTTCTTATGAAGAACAGTTCTTTGCATTTTGGATCTTCCCCTAGATTTTACACTTACACCTCTTCCAAAACCAAGCTTTAACTTCAAACACTCCGGTATGCCATTGAAAGCATAAAGAGAAGCTGAGTACTTGCGCTCATATTTCATCCTCTTCATCGCTTCAGATATTGTTAATGGCTCTTCTCCTTCTTCATTGTACACCTCTGATGCTATCTCTTGAGCTATCTCAAATGGAGAAAAGTTACAAGTTGATCCAAGTTCATCGATGAAACCAAAAATCAATCACTCCTGTTTCACTGCTCCCTTCATCATCATCATCTTCTTCTTCTTCTTCTTCATCAACCCCACCTCCATTGTTTACATCACCGTTTGAACACTGAGCTTCCAAATTATTATCAGATTCCATCAACATACCAAAATCATCTTTAACATGATTTTCATCATTTGTATCAGGAATATACTCATCCGTGTCATTGAGAAAATCAGTAAAGATTGTATCTGAAAACTCAACTACATCATCTCTAAATTCCTCTTGCTTCTTATCATCATGATGATTAATAGATACATGGGAAACGTTTTGAGATGAAGCACTTGCAGCAAGTGCTAAAAAATTATTTCTGGCTTTGAGTCTGTGAAGAAGAAGGTTTGTGATTTTTGAAGGAAGGGCAGGTGTGGTCAAAGTTGACTGAGAAGAAGGCCAGAAGTTTGTGCGAGTGTTGGCTCCTCTTAACAAACAAGCAGCTTCATCATATGCTCTAGCTGCTTCTTCAGCTGTGTCAAAAGTGCCTAACCAGACTCTAATCTTTTGTATCGTGTCCTTAATTTCTGCCACCCATCTGCCGGAGGGCCGCTGTCGAACACCCACAAACCGCTTCCGAGCTCGCCGGATTCCGCCAAATGCCGCCACAGCTGGTGGTTCTTTAACCCTCTCATCCTCCCACACTATGTTTTCTTCAAGATGATCAGAGTCTTGTTCATTTGACACTTTTCTCTTTCTAGCCATGATAATGTGTTTATTCGGTTTGGATTTTGGAAGCTATATTAGTTTCTGATACATATTATATCTGGATTTTGATGCATTTATATATAGGCATAGAAACTAGAAAGAGAAGATCTTGTCAAACTACTGAAAGGGTCACAACTCTTTTTTATTTTAAATATTAATTTATCAACTTTCAGTTTTTGGCTCCTAGATAAAACCATTTGGAGCGTTATCTTTCATTCGAGGAGAAAAGAATAAAGTATTCAATCTTTATAATATTCATCTGTAAATATATAGTTTGACCTAGCCAGAGTTTGTATATAGTATTATAGTACCTATAGCTTCCTCTATCATGCTTTTGATTAAATATTGAGTTCTCTTTGTTTAATACTCATTTCTTTTCTTATTTATTGGCATATTCGAAATCAAGATTTCATTTGTGTTAATAACTATTACAACATATTTATAGCGTTCAGTTATATCCACCACCCTTTTTCTTGTTATTATCATGGGAAATTTTAGATATTCAACTACAAGTTCAACTCATATATTATATCATCCTAAAACTAAGATCAAAGCCCATAGACAAAGAGAAGCTTTGATATCATCACCCCATTACATGTACTTAACATGGTATTGGTAATCCCACTAATCAATTTTGGGAAACTTGCAAGTTGCATCTTGCATCACAGAAGAGACAATTGGAGCAATTTACAAGACAAGTTACGTAGTCATATTAATAATTGTATAAAATTCAAGTCGATGTGTTCTTACATAGTTTGTCCCATAAGGCGTTTAGTAGGGCCCAGTGAGCCATATCTAATGGAAGCAATCAGACTAGTTGCTACAAAACTCTTGTGGTAATTGGACCATTGATTATGGTGATTTCATTAGTTCATAAAGTTCTTTCAGAATCGACAAAACCGATGTCTTAAGATAATGAATTAATGATCATATGTGATGAACGAAAAGATTCAAAAGAATGTCACATAGCAGGGTAACAGTATGAAGTATAAACGAACGATTCTAAAGGTAACATGCAAACAGCCAATAGAATTAACAAAAGAAGAGACAAGAAAGGTTTGAGATGCTAAAAACATCAACCTCTTGTTTGTTTCTTCTGATCTTAACTTCATCCTCTTGATATTTACCAAATCTATCTCTCTCAAATAATTGTGATATGGCTCTTCTAAGGTTGCCACATGGATAGCTTGTTTGTTTCTACAGTGGCATTTACGTAAATGAATTGGGGTTTAAGGTTTTTGAGTTTTTAACTAGGTGAAATGACAAGGTGCTAGTTGTCTATCTAGGGCAAAGGCAAAGGCAAAGGCAATGTCAATGGCCAATTGGCCATTGTTACTCCATCATCCCCTTCCTACTGATATGTAGTGTACTTACTGAAATCGATGATTTTTTTGGAATTCAAATGGTTGACATTGAACCCTAACACTAGATTATTGTAATCAGGGATTGGGGAAATGACATACTTCTATCGTTAACTGAACTCATGTATCAATTGCAATTGCAACACAGAATAAATATTGAACAGGGAAGAGAAAAACGACTTACAATATTGCAGACTTAGCCTTTATCGTTGTGAATAAATCGACCGGTTCTATCACCGGCACCTACGGTGGCTCTGGGGATAATCCTACCGGAGAAACCGATCACAAGATCCCTTAATTATGAGACCAATACAACTTTCATCAATGCAACCTTATGCAATACGTTTGTTACATGGTTAGTTAAATGAAAAAAAAAAAAAACATTTTTAACGATATCTTTTTTTCTGGAAATTAGTTTTTAAAAAATTCATAAATAATTTGGTTCATTACTTCATTATATATATTTAGTCATTAAGATATTTTTCCTTGAAAAATATCATTATTACTGATTATTATAAATTTTATTGTACATATTTAGTCACTGATTTTTTTACATATTTAATCATTAGTTTTATATTATATATATATTTAATCATTAATTATTTTATAAATATTTACTAATAATCCTATATAATATAAATACGTATTATTATTACACCATGTATAAATACATGACACTCATTCCCCTTTTAATTAGTCTTAACAAATATATATATATATATATATATAGATATATATATATATATATATATATATATATATATCGAGGTTTAGGTTCTATGGAAAACAAAAAACCCTAAAAATCATAAAATGCATAAAAAAAATACTTAGAGATCACAAAACTTTTTTTTTGAATTTTTTTTATAAAAATCGGAGCTTTTTATTAAAATTCGCTGAAAAAAAACATAAAAAATCAATTTTTTTTTTTATAAAAAAAAAGTTTTTTTTTTCAAATTTTTTTTTCAGCGAATTTCTTTAAAAACCTGCGATTTTTTCATAAAAAATGTCAAAAAAAAGTTTTGTGATTCTAGGTATTTTTTATGCATTTTTATGATTTTTGGGGTTTTTTTGTTTTCCAAATAACCCTTCCCTATATATATATATGATATATAATATATATATATATATCTATATAATATATATATATATATTATTAACTATAAGTATAGTAAGGGCATTTGCTTAGTGTAGTATGTAACCGTGTAATGAGTTTATTATAAATCTCAGCTATTTAAATATTTTTAGACGACAACAAATACATTAAAACTAGTAAGATGTTAGAAAATTACAAAGTATAAAGTATAGAAGGAGTAATACACCAATCAAACCAACATAACTTTGATAATTTAACTATATACTTAATCCAATTGAAAGATAGAAGTTGAATATCATCCACCGCTCTCATCGGGTTGCAACTCCGCCTTTTGAAGACGACATCATTCCTCGTTTTCCATAAAGACGACAACACCACATAAGCTAAGGAATGCAACAATTTACATCTCCTTGTTTCAGCCTTCATATCAGAAACAACCGAAATCAGTGAAGAAAAGCTCACATGGGCAACATAAATAAGTTTCGACCAAGCACAAAACCATTTTCAGACCTCCACAACGAAATCACAATTAAAAAACACATGGTTGACATCTTCATTTTTTTTCCAGAGGGATAATAAAGAGCACTAAAAGGAATCTTGTTAAACGAAAGTCTCCAAACAAAACAATTCACTTTCATTGGGATCCAGTTTATCCAAATGAAAGAGAAATGAGCAACTCCGGAGTAAAAATCAACCATGTACCTTCTCAATGTGCTAACCGAGAAATCTCCATTTGCGCTACCTTTAAAACTTCAAGAATCCAAAGTCGAAGTCAGCCTAACATGTTTAATTTTTCTGCACAACTCCATAAGTTGAACCGACTCTCTACCTCTTATCGACGGTCTCCAGCACCACATCACCCCATTCATAGCTCTGGAATTAGAGTTAGGCAACCTATCACTAATCTTGCAATCTTTGAAGGACCAAATCCTATAAAGATATGGGAGAGAGTTCTTTATGTACATAAATATTTTATTTTATTTGTCTCGCACAAATTACAAAAAATAACTAAAATTTATATGACATGGTAGTTGATATTAGACATTATAATGCAATATCAATATATTTCATCTAACGTATTCAAACTGATTTATTAGCTTGTTATGGTGAACAAATATTTAACAGTAATTTATTTTTAAGAAAAACAATGTTCTAGGGCAATGGATAATTATGTTTTAATATATTTAGTCATTTTTTGTGTATGATTTACCATTAAACTAATTATTTATTTAGAATGTTATTTTGATTTGCTATTGCAAGTCTAGTTGGTTTACCTGTTTAGAAAACACCATTAAACTCAATTTTTGTATATTATTTACATTAAGGTAACTTTTGTACACATTTAATCATTTTCATATTTTTCGAACATGATCATTTTAGGTCTAACTTCTCCAGGCCAACACAATTACAATGAAAGAAAAAAATCATTAGAATCACATTTTTGTACACGTTTTACCATTAATTAACTTATGTACATATTTTGTCATTTTCATATTTTCCAGCCATCATAAAATTTCTGGTCATATTTTCCGGCCAACACCGTAACATCCCAAAAATTACGGTAAAATTTTCATTTTTCAAAAACAACCCAAAACCATAAATGTTTACAAACATAGTTTCCAAAGTGCCAATAGTCACAAATCAGAGCATCCCAAAAACAAATCTCATAAAAACTGAAGGATGTGCACGATCAAGCATTCGCCTTGCCCCGATCATCTAAAGTACCTGAAAACATGAAACCAAACTTTAAGCACGAAGCTTAGTGAGTTCCCTAAAGTCCCACCATACAAACATATAACATATACAATCATGCATGTTGGGTCTAATCAGTCATCGGACTGGAATACCCTCGAGTCCACAACCTCCCAGTTGGATTACCCCTGGCCCACAACCTTCCGGTTGGATTTCCCTGGCCCACAACCTCCGGTTAGATTGCCATACATACTACATACTGGGTATACAACCTCCCAGTTGGATTACCCTTAGACCACAACCTCCTGGTTGGATTGCCCTGGCCCACAACTTCCCGGTTGGATTGCCCGGGGTTTGTTGACTGACAGCACAAAGCAGTACAGTCTCAACCCAACCACACTATATCAACATATGTATCAGATAAACATATAACAAGTCAGCAGACAAATAGGCATATCTACAGATTATTACCACATAACAACATCCTACATACCAGGATACAGATCTAACATACCACTACATCATAACAACATCCTATATACCAGGATACATAACCTAGTGGACCGACATTGGTGCCTTCGACCCACAAGTACAGTAAGGAAAACTCACCTGAATCGAAGAACTCTGAAACACTGCGATAAGGTCCCTTTTCTACACTGCTTGCACCCACGAATCCACTAACACTAGAACCATATAGAATCTTAATCAATAGCCCAAAATCGTCAAGTTTGATCTAAAGTCACACTTGGTTAAAAGTCAACAATCAATGGAAGTCAACGAAAGTCAAAGTCCAAGACTGGCTGCGTACGCCCAACGTACGCGATTCAAGTCCAGTACGCCAAGCGTACTCC